GTGAATGGAGACGAATGGTTTTTAATACTTGACATGCTGTTGGAGTGTGAGCAAAGTAACATTTATGAAGGGGTTCAGGGAAACCGGCAGGCCGGACTTGAGTCCTGGAGATGGGAAGTACAGTGCCTGCACTCTGAAGGAGGGGTGTTAATGTTGCAGTTTAAAAACTGTAGTGTAAAGCACCCTTCTGGCAAGACAGTGATGGAGTGAATGATGGTGAAAGCTTTTCTTTTTTGGGCCTCCCTGCCTTGGTGGGAATCGGCCGGTGTGACAATAATAAAAAAAAAAAATTTAAAGCCACCTAGAATATTAGTTTCAGTAATAATGATGTACTTGGCAGCTGGTTTCATTCATCTACAATTCTATTGCCAAAGCTGTAGGTTCCTGTAACTATAGTGCTCACACTATAACTTTGTTTTTTATTATTAACATATCAGCCGTTTCCCACCAAGGCAGGGTGACCCGCAAAAGAAACACTTTCATCATCATTCACTCCATCACTGTCTTGCCAGAGATGTGCCTACACTACAGTTAAAAAACTGCAACTTAACACCCCTCCTTCAGAGTGCAGGCACTGTACTTCCTATCTCCAGGACTCGCGTCCAGCTAACTGATTTTCCTGAATTCCTTCATAAATGTTACTTTACTCACACTCTAACAGCATGTCAAGTCATAAAAACCAGTTGTCTCAACTTGCTCTTACCCAACACACTCACGCATGCATGCTGGAAGTCCAAGCCCCTTAGACACAGAAACCTCCTTTACTCTCCCCTCCAACCTTTACCAGGACGATCCTTACCCCGAATTCCTTCCTCCACAGATTTATATGCCCTCCAAGTCATTCTATTTTGAGCCATCCTCTCTAAATGTCCAAACCACCTCAGCAACCCTTCCTCTGCCCTCTGGATAATACTTTTAGAAACCACGCACCTCCTTCTAATCTCCAAGCTATGGATTCTCTGCATTATATTCACACCACACATTGCTCTCAGACACGATATCCCCACTTCCTCCAGCCTTTTCCATGTTGCATCATTCACCACCCATGTTTCACACCCATATAAGAGTGTTGATATAACTATACTTTCATACATTCCCCTCTTGGCTTCCATGGATAATGTTCCTTGTCTCCGCAGACTCCTCAATGCTCAACTCGCCTTTTTCCCATTCATCAATTCTGTGATTCACCTCATCTTTCATAGACCCATCTGCTGACAGGTTCACTCCCAAATATCTGAATACATTCACTTCCTCCATAATCCTTCCATCCACAATCTTTCATTATCTAAATCTGTTATCCTCATCACCTTGCTCTTTCCTACGTTCACTCCTAACTTCCATCTTTTGCATACCCTTCTGAACTCATTCACAAACCTCTGCAATTTCTCTTCAGAATCTCCTAAAAGCACAGTGCCATCAGCAAAATGCAACTGTGACAACACCCACTTTGTATTAGATTCTTTATCTCTTAATCCCACACCTCTTGCCAACATTTCACTTCTCTTACAACCCCATCTATTAATATATTGAACAACCATGATGACATCATGCATCCCTATCTAAGGCCTACTTTAATGGTAAATAATCTCCCTCTCTCTTACATACTCTAAGCTGAGCCTCACTATCCTCGTAAAAACACTATAAACACACAACAAACTGGTTATTAAAATCCAAACAAACCTGTGTGTGCAGAGGAGAGCATTAAGATTATGCCTCAGCTGAAGGAAATGATCTACAAAAAAAGAATGAGAGAAAAGAACAAGAGAGGAAATGATTCCAACAAATAAAATACTACAGACCAATGGATAAGAAACAATACCATGACTGCATGGTTGGAAATTACTTACTCATGTGAGCAACAAGGATATTACAAAATATTTCTTCAATGTCAGAGTTGTAAACAAGTGGAATGAGATCACCAATGGCACAGCAGATACAAATTCCATACAAGGCTCATTTATGTCAGGGAAAAGTTAAGAGGTGAAACAAATAGTTGGAGCTCACCCCCATAAAATCAAATGGACAATTACAGCAGAAAGGGAAAGAAAGTGGTAAAAACTGAACACTGACACAATGGAAATTAACTTAACACAAAGTTTCAAAAAATCTATACAATATTGTTTTCATGTTTAAACTAAAAGAGGTGGGACCAAGAGTTAGAGCTCACTCTTGTAAATTCAAATAGCTTGTCACTCTAGAAACCTCTTTCCTATACCTATTTCATGAGTTACCTTCTCTTTCACAGACTTATCTGCCAACACAACCACTCTCAATCCTTTGAGGGTCCAGAGCCCCAATCTGAGACTTGTCCACAAGGTCCAAGAACTTTAGAAAAAAAAATTGTTACTTTTTTCTTGTGAAATGGTCGAGAATCTTTTTCTGAAGGTAACAAAAATTGCTGATGCTTAAATATTGCTGACACACCAGAATTTGTGATAGCGTAATTTTGTCAATTTTCCATCAAATTTCGTACTAAAAAAGTACGAAATTTGATGGAAAATTGACAAAATTACGCTATCACAAATTCTGGTGTGTCAGCAATATTTAAGCATCAGCAATTTTGCCCACTTTGACTCTTATTTAAGGCCTTCTACATTGTTCTAGTTGACCAAATTCTTAGCTATTCCACTAGTATGCTTCCATTTTAGCGATTTAGCACAAGAAACCACCCAATCATCTATTTCAACAATCCAATAAAGTGTTCAGAAATTGGTAAATTGGCCAATTTCACAACTTTCAAAATAGGTTCCAAAATAAACAATGCAGGCATTACTGGCACTAAAATAACATTTCCTCTGTTCATTAGTCACATTTCCAAGTTTTATATGTCAATTCATTTTGAATTTTTATTCACACCAAAAAAAAAAAAAGTAAAAAATTTACTGTAATGTAATACTGTAATAATTGTATAAATAATATCAGTGCATTTGTGAAAGCATATTAGACCAGCTGACATGCATTGGATGCCTGATGTAATCTGCTTACTCTTCAACATTGGCAAAAATCGAACATTTCCACTACTTTGAGCTCAATTTCGAGATATTTTCCATCCTACAACAAATCAAAATGATCTCTATTTCTGTACTGTATCTTACATGCTATCAAATGAGACCAAGAAACCGCAAAGCTCCTGTTTTAAACCAGAAAGGCAGTCTCGGCTTTTTCTAATTATGCACTGCATGCTGCAGGACATTTTTTACATGATGCACACTTACCACAAAGACCCAGTCTCTCATATCTAAGCCCAAATTTACCACTCATGGCTAATCTGAGCGAGCTGAGCTCATCATGAAGTACTATGGCACGGACCCTGGCTTCAAAGCCATAGAAAAACAGCACGGACCCTCAAAGGGTTAGACATCCCAATACATTCACTTTTTTTTTTTTTACACAGGGTTTGACAAGGTTAGGTTAAGGATCCCTAGCTTTGTTGACAAGCTATTGACAAGTTAAGGATTCCTAACCTTATTGACAAGCTAGCATCTGTTACCTACATCAGCTCATTTGTAAGCATTTTCACTGTTATGAAACATACAAGTAGGGAACAGGATGAAGTTGGAGCCCTCTGTGGGCCAGCATTTTTATTTGATCAACTGACTTCATCCTTCCTCACAGTCATACATTCAATTTTTCATTGCCTATATTTCTTATTCTAACCACCTTGTTCTTTTCTATGTTCACTATCAACGTCCTTATTTTACAAACCCTCAATGCCTCCACCAACCTTCGCACATAAGCAAAGAGAAACTGACAACTCCGATGTTATATGATTCATTGTTTTTCAAACCCAAACCTCGTGAACACATTCACTGCTTCTACAATCCCCCTTTGTAAACACAAACAGCCACAGTTAAGGGGCATATTTTTGGTTAAGACCCCCAGCTACTGAGAAATACTACCCATTCCTCCTCATACACCAACCTGAGCCTTATTCTCCTCAAAAACTTTTTTTTTATACCTTTTCTAAGTTCATAAATGTAATGAACAGGGTACTATGAACAAAAAAAAATAAATTTATGTTTATACCAATATAAACTTCAAATATTGTGATGAAAATAACTTTAAAGCAAACATTCATGTTCACAATATGCATTAACAGAAGCCAGACCTGCTGTTCATCTCATTCTACCCTTGCATCGCTGCAATGTACAATTTTACTGATAAAATAGATAATAATCAGCACAAAATAAAACGAAGGAAATCTACAGTTCCTTTTTAGTTAATAAATCATTAAATATTTTTGCCTTAAGGAAGCAGAAATAATGAAAATTTATGCCAAGACAGCCTATACAAATCCCAAAATAATGATCTTTCATCTCTTTCATTTCATACGTAAGAGCAAATAAGCAAGTTTCCTGAGGTGTGCCTTTCACAAGGTGGAGGTAGTGTACTGTACATATGTAGAGGTAAGTGTACAAACATTGCAGCCTGCTACTCTTTAGTTTCATTACTGAGGATGAAGTGTCGACTCATGTTAAGGATTTAAACATGTTCTTTCTCATCAAATCTCTTAAGCAATATCTAGCATAATTTATTAATATTAGTATATTTGGAGTAATTTATGTTTTAATCATGCAGTCTTCTAATTAAAACCTTTTTAATAAACATTACAATAAAAAGACCATTTACAATATAAACCAGACCACTCCCAGTCCCATTATATTAATAGTATACAATACTGACAACTAGATAAGCAAGACACGTGCAACAGTTGCATATCTTTTGTCAAAATAAAAGTTTTGACAATAAAGGTGCCCAGTTGTTACATGTGTGAGTTACTAATCTGCTCTGTTTGTATTACTAAATTTTAAAACTAATGAATATCCTAAAATACAGTAATTTGACCCTTCGTTGAAAAGCAAGGATATAGCAATTCACTGGAGTCATTATCATTGTTAAAATGCAGTATATAATGTATTTGTTGTAGACTATTACGTTTAAATGTTAGTTAAACTGACAAGGATGTTAGAAGAGATATGATTGTTATGGGAATTACTTACGTAGTGATGCTCCAGAGCCCACCTTGAGTCTCTGGGACTGGGCATATTGTGAACGAGCCTGTGCACGCCTGGCAGCCTGCAGATCAATGGCACTGTTGGATCGGATGTTGTTCGTTGGAGTAAGGGAAGGGGCAGGGGAATCTGGGGAATCTTGTGAGCGATGAGAGGCAGGGGTAGGGATAGCAGATCGTCGAGTGCTACTGTGGGACTGTCTTGCCGTCAGTGCTGCAAGGTTCTCTGTGCTTCCAGTTGTTGAAGAAGATCGTGACCATCCTGGACGTGTCCCAGCTGCTGTCCCAGCTGTTGACATGGGAACCAGCGAAGAACACGCACATATCCAGGTGAGCCATTTTTGTAAGTGAATTGATGGGGCAGCGCGCACAGTCCATGACAGCATATGCGCAACATCCAGGCACACACAAGCCACAGAAGTGTTGTGGTTCAGGTGGGAAGGAATGGGGAAGCAAGCAAAGGCCAAGCATCAGCTGTGTGTCAAATGCTTGCCAGTTGTCAACAATAAAGTACTAGTAACACAACCCCAATAAATTATTTTATACAAAAATATTAAAAAACTAGAAATGCACACATGCATAGAACTACATACTACTAATAAATAAAAAAATACTTTCTTAACCCTATCCAAATTTTGTGATAAGTACACACACAAACACACACATGCACAAAAAAGAAAAGTTGAAGGCTAAGCAAATCCTGCAGCAAAATTAATTCAACTAAATCTTGCAACCAATTAAAGAAAACTACTAAAAGAATGTTTTTCAAAACCAATCTTAATGAGCGCTTCCTTGCACAACTAGAGATAAAAGTTTAAAAAGGAAAAAGAAAAGGAAGTAAATTAATGCTTATTAAGAAGCAATACAAAGATATATAAATATAAGAGTAAGATTTAAAACCCACATTACTGTTACATATTTTAGATGAAAATGTACTGTATTATTTCCAAGTAAGAGTGATGGGTCAAAAAATTAACCACTTTCAAAGTAATAAAAAGTTAGTGCAAGAATTTTTAGTTGCAGAATAATAAAATATGAATTTTTTACTCTTAGATTCTTCCTACTATATGTATTTGATCATTACTTACCTTGAACAACACAAAGTAGAAGTGGTGCACAACCTTATAAGCCAACCTTTCTATACCCATTATGCTTACACAAAGTATCTGTGCATAAAAGTCTTTTCTCGACTCTGGAGAAATTCACATCAAATAAACCTAAGTCTGCCTCTACTAACCTAATAATGCAGCTTGTACAAAAAAAAAATGCATGCACCCTACAACTTCTGCATTTAAAGGTTATATTATCTCATATGCTAGTGTTAAAGTGATGTGACATATTCTTCCATAATGCTAATTTATCCAACTCCCAGCAAAGAAAATTAAAACCTTATGGAAAGACTAATACATTACAAGACTCTTAATAGGCAATCTTGTGTATGTTATCAAGGGCAGTTTCCTACCTGACTTGTTGTGAGAGTTGTGCAGTGACTGTGAAGAGGAGGAGTTGGACATGCTTATCTCACCCTGAAGCATTTTCTTGTAGCTTGGATCTAAAGAGTTTAACAATTTGTCTGCCTCATCCTTGAAATGGTCTGCAAAGCCCCAATATGCTCTGCAAGTTTTCATAATTATCATGTGAATAATATTCCTAGATATAAAAGTTATTATTTTATATAAAATTATCCCTTTTTACATGCTTTCTCATTTCCTGGTACATAAAACACTGGCATACAAGAGGTTTGCTAATGATACTATAAGTCAGAAAAAATAAACAAACACTTTAATAACTAAATTAATGTAGCTGCAGATATTTTTTAAGGGCCAACAGGTCACCACCCCATGGCCTGGTCCCAGACCAGGCCTCCTGACCACATCGACCAAGCTGTTGGTGTCGGCTGCATGTATTTCAACGTATGAAACACTACCTGGCTTCTCAGGAACTGACTTGAGGAACATGGTCACCATACTTAGATCAGTGAATGACTTTTTTCTCCTTTTATTTTTTTTGGTAGGAGGGAAAGGTTAGAAGAATTAAGAACCGAGATAAAAAAAAAATGGTATTCACTCGTAAAACTGGTGGGGACAACTTCAGGAATACTACTGAGCAACCATATTTACAAGGGTTACACTCCCAGAAATCATGTATATCTTGAATTCGCAAATACAGTATAAAAATTCTCTCCTTATAACAAACTTATGTTTTACAATTCTGGCTCATTTTGAGTTTCTCTGATCTGATGAATATTGACACTCACAAAAAAAATGACTAAATGAGATCTCTTTGTGGGGAAAGCCTTCAAATACATTTTGAATGAAATTAAGGGGATGAAAGCCAAGGAAATTATTATATTTAGGGTAAAGTACTAAATATGTAGGAGTTATACAGAGCTTGGGATATTAGGAGGTAATCAGGTTTGATCCAAGGAAGGAAAAGACAAGCTCAAATCCTTAGATGAAGAGCCCCTTGATGGCATTAAGGGGCTCTCTAGTGAGAGGCCAAGAAAATAGAAGGCATCTCTAAATAATACATACACACATTCACAATAAGCCTTTCAAAGCTGACTTAGAGTTAGTAATAAGCAGTCCACAAAGTCAAGGGTCCCAAACTTTGAAAAACAAAATTTCAAAGCAAATGCATGGTTTTTTAATAGATGACTATGCTAATACAGTAATGTTTCAGAAACAGTGCTTGAATTATAAAAAAAAATTCTGGACGATAGAAATTTGATATCTTTCTTATTTTGAAACTGTTGAAGTTCTGAGATCATTCAAAAACTGCAAGCTGGAAAGCAATTGTAATTAAAATTAATTTTTGACATAAGAGAGAAATCTACACGAGTAATTGCTTTAGGTACTCACAACTAGGTTAACCCTTTGACTGTTTCCGACGTATAAATACGTCTTACGAGCCAATGTTTCTGACGTATTTATATGCATAAATTCTAGCAGCTTCAAATCAAGCAGGAGAAAGCTGCTAGGCCCACATGTGAGAGAATGGGTCTCCATGGTCAGTGTGCACCATATAAAAAAAATCGGGGAGCCAGTGGTGCATTGTGGGAATGCCATTTCAGTTGTCATTTTTCAGCATGTCTAGTGGTAAGAAATATGTGATTCCCCAGCAAATCTGGGACTCTTCTCTTCCCAAGTGATGCTCTAACACAGATGGAAGTGTCAGTGAAGATCAATTTCATGATTTGGAGGAGTTTGAGACCAAAAGCAATGGAGGAGGAGGAGGGGGAGGAGGGGAGGAAGAGGAGGAGGAGGAGGAGGAGGGAGGAGGGAAGGAAGAGGGGGAGGAGGAGGAGGAGGAGGAGGAGGAGAAGAGGAGAAGAGGAGGAGGAGGAGGAAGAAGAAGATGTAATAATATTGTTCCCTTGAAGCAAGAAAAAAAAAAGTCCACCCCATGACAGTGACAAGATAAGGGGAGATAACATCTGATAAGAGCTGACTTTGATGAGCGTAAAGGAGGGTAATATTACATGACCATCGCCTCCCTTTGTTTTTGCTGGTACACAAACATTTCTGTCTGTCTATTTGTCTGTCTGTCAAGCTCCCTGTCTGTCCATCTAGCTCTCTGTCTCAGAGAGAGCCACAAGACTGTGTCATCACGTTTTACTCACATCTTCAAGCAGAGTATAGCACTTTGTCTGGATTTCTTGGGTTATCCTAGGTAATTTACACTATGTATACTTGTATTTATGTGTACCTGTGAGACAGAGATAGGCAGACAGAAAGAGAGACAGATTGAAAGATATAGAATGAGGGAGAAAGATAATTAGATAGAATGGAGGAGGGGAAGCAGCATCCGACCCCATTGTTTTGACAGGGTAGGGGTAGTGACTAATGAGACAATATGTCACTTTGACAGCTGCCGACTTCTGACTCAAAACAATTATAAGCCACACACTCGCACACAAGGAGGAGGAGGAGAAGGAGGAGAAGGAGGAGAAGGAGGAGGAGGAGAAGGAGGAGAAGGAGGAGAAGAGGAGGAGAAGGAGGGAGAAGGAGGAGGAGAAGAAGGAGGAGAAGAAGAGGAGAAGAAGGAGGAGAAGAAGGAGGAGAAGAAGGAAGAGAAGAAGGAGGAGAAGAAGGAGGAGAAGAAGGAGGAGAAGAAGGAGGAGAAGAAGGAGAAGAAGAAGGAGAAGAAGAAGGAGAAGAAGAAGGAGAAGAAGAAGGAGAAGAAGAAGGAGAAGAAGAAGGAGAAGAAGAAGGAGAAGAAGGAGGAGAAGAAGGAGGAGAAGGAGGAGGAGAAGAAGGAGGAGAAGGAGGAGGAGAAGAAGGAGGAGAAGAAGGAGGAGAAGAAGGAGGAGAAGAAGGAGGAGAAGAAGGAGGAGAAGAAGGAGGAGAAGAAGGAGGAGAAGAAGGAGGAGAAGAAGGAGGAGAAGAAGGAGAAGAAGGAGGAGGAGAAGGAGGAGGAGAAGAAGGAGGAGAAGAAGAAGGAGAAGAAGAAGGAGAAGAAGAAGGAGAAGAAGAAGGAGAAGAAGAAGGAGAAGAAGAAGGAGAAGAAGAAGGAGAAGAAGAAGAAGGAGAAGAAGAAGGAGAAGAAGAAGGAGAAGAAGAAGGAGAAGAAGAAGAAGAAGAAGAAGAAGAATTGTTTGTTTGTTTGTTTGTTTTTGTAAACCCAAATTTTGTAAACAATATATTGATAATTATGTTTGTGTGCTTATTGTGTTGTATACAACGAGTGTATATATATACATTGCACCTTACTTTGGTCTCATAGGCCACATAAGTTATGTGAAAAAATAAAATAGTGAAAAAAACAACAAACCTTCAAATACAAGTAAACTAAAGTTTACCGGGTGAGCGGCAGTCGCCGCTGTTGCCATACGCGGCTCATTTTCTGCAAACTTCACGGCTCTATATCTCGGTAAGTACCGATGGCAAAAATTTTTTTTTTGGACTAAAACACTCAGAAAAATAATCTTAACATTTTCATAAGAAAAAATAATTTTTTTTTTTTTGAATATTTGGCGACATAGAATGACAGTTTCAGAGAGGGGCCTGAAACAGTCAAAGGGTTAATAAATGAAGTATGCCAGAGCCAGAGGAAGGTATATATTATTCATGAATTCATGTAAAAAAACATTGCCTGTAAGTGTAGCGAGATGGAAAACAATTTAATTCGACTTCTCAATACAAAACATTTTTAAACTCACTTTCTGGAGAATGCTCGAGCTTCTGGGTCTGCATCTGTAATTCCTCTTTTTATGTTTTCTGCAAGAATAGCAACATGCTTCTCCATAGAATGTGTGGGCCATGTATGTACAAGCTGATCTAAGACTTCACACAACACTTTTCGAATCTCTCTGTTTTTGCTGGTCAGCTCCCGTAAGAGAATGGGGATTAATTTATGGTGGTGTGTGTTTTGTATGATAAAACGAATTGTTACAATACCAGACGAGGCCATTATCTGAAAGTATTAAATAATTAAATATCTGGAACCAATGAAAAATTTATGACACTATTCCATCAGGTGACATACAAGCATACATCTGAATGATCACCCTAATTCTTACCTTAGCACTATTAGGTATTAAATTAATAAGGCTTGGAAGAAGAGTTTCACACAAATGATCAACTTTATGATGCAACTCCTGGGACATGTATGCCACAGTGACACATGCCTCACGCACCACTTGAGACCTGTAAAGGAAGAAATAATGAAAAGCAGTAATGATGGACAGCAATTATAAAGCTAAAGTACAGCAGCAGTCTAGCATTGTAAATTTATGATTCGATAATTCAGAGAATTGGAAAATTTATTTTTGGTAATTTGAAAATGATAATGGTCTTCTAGTTAAGAGCAGGTCCAATACTCCATTATAAATATTTGACAACTGTGTGAAAAAATCAATCACAGAGCTTAAGATCAAAGTACATCTTCAAAATTCCTCATTCAAAGCCACCAGCAGGCAGCTGCTGCCCCATTAGGTTTGTTGGAATAGAAAAGCAATGGCAGCTGGTTTTATTATATAATTGTATTTCATTTATTTTACGGTGAATGAAAGGTATAATTATGGAATATGTATAGCCATAATGGTGCAGAATATGACCACTAAAGTTAAAGTGGGTATCCCTGATGATACCCACTTTAGCACTAGTAATTCAAATTCAATCATATTTTTAAGGAATTTTAATCTTTAACAACAATATTTTGCTGGACTTAAGTTCTGGAGGTGGGTAGCACAGTGCCTGCTCCCTGAAGGAAGGGTGGGGCTAATTGCAGTTTTGAACTGTAGTATCAGCATGCCTCTGGCAAGATAGTGATGGTGAAACTATTTCTTCTTTTTTGGGTTGCCCTACCTTGGTAGGAGAAGGCCGGTGTTAAAGAAGAAAAAAATAAAATGTACAGAAGAAAAAGGATTACTGAGCTGCTTAAAAACAAAATATGTCACAACAAGGAAAGATAATCTTAGCCAAGAGATCATCGAGACAGAACAAAAACTTAAAGCTATTGTACCAAACAGAAGAAGCACAATGGGAACAAAAAAATCTTAAATATTTCTATACATATGCAAAATCCAAGCTAAGAACTACCTGTAGAACTGAACAATTAATAACAAGAAGATCATGCACAGACAATGAAAAGGAAATAAAAATTCTAACAGACCAATACAAGTTGATGTTCAGCAGTCTACAAAATGAAGAGCTGGGAAGAGAATGCAGGAACTTTTTCATTTAATCTGAAGGCCATGCAGACTGAACTAACATTAGTACTAGTCTAAAAGGATTTAAAAAATAAATAGAAAACATGCCCTCTAACTTAGTACCTGGACAGTTTTAGATCTGGAAGATCATGCCTGTCACAACTGCTAAGCCACTATGAGAGAATTACATTAACATTGGAAGAAAATCAAGAGGCAGATATGATATACAGTGGACCCCCGGTTAACGATATTTTTCATTCCAGAAGTATGTTCAGGTGCCAGTACTGACCGAATTTGTTCCCATAAGGAATACTGTGAAGTAGATTAGTCCATTTCAGACCCCCAAACATACACGTACAAACGCACTTACATAAATACACTTACATAATTGGTCGCATTGGGAGGTGATCGTTATGCGGGGGTCCACTGTACATGCAATGTGCAATAGCATTTGACATATGCAATCATGGAGAGACTGCACACAAAATGAGGGCCATAGGTATAACAGGAAATGTAGGAAGAAGGATTTTCAAGTTTGACAAATAGAACACACAGTAGAAAACAGAGCAAAATCCAGCATCAGTGAGGTAAAGAGCTCATTACCTCGAGGCATGGTCCTGGTGCTAATATTGTTTCTTATCCTCGTATATAAAAACACCCATCACAATTTTGTATCACTTGCAGACGACCACAAAATAAGCATGAAAATCACCTCGGTAGATGACACGAAAAAAGTGAAGGAAGATATAAGGAGGAATTCCCAATAGGCAGTGGAAAACAACATGAAGTTCAAAAGTGTCAAGTTCCAGCTACTAAACATAGAAAAAATAAAGAACGCAAAAGGGACACTGAATACAAAACCTAAGATGATCATCAAATAGAAGGAAAGGAATACGTGTAAGACCTGGGAGTACTTAAGTCAGCTGACCTCTCTTTCAAAGAACACTAAGGCAAATGTCATGACAGCCAGAAAGATCACAGGGTGGATAATGAGAACAAAGGAAAAGAAATAGTGCCAATGGTGACACTATCCAAATCACTTGTGCTCTCTCATTTAGAGTATTGTTCAGTGTTGATGGCCCCATTCAGGGCAGGGAAGATATTAGAAATGGTACAGATAGAGATCATGTACAGCCCGTGTAGAGCCAATATAGCATTTAAATTACAGGGAAGGCCTAAAAGGCATAAATATGTACTTCCGGGAGCAAGCAATACGTGATAACATATACATGAAAAGTACTAGAGGGCCTAGTCCTAAATCTGCACAATGTGAGAGATATTAGAGGAAGTGCAAAATAAACTCATTAAAAAGCAGAGACACCATTATCAACATCCAAGGTCCCAGACTATTCAACATCTTACCAAACGATATCAGAAACACTGCTGGGACAAATGTAAAAGTCTTCAAAAGAAAAATGTACATGTATCTCCACCACGTGACAGATCAACGAGACTGTGATGGATATGTGGACCAGTGGGCCACAAGTAGCAACAGTCTGGATGGCCAAGCAAACACCAGACAAGCTTGGCCCAAGGCCAGACTCCAAGAGCAAGAAAAACTCCTGAAACTCATCAAAGGTATTTTATTTTTTTTCAACAAGTTGGCCATCTCCCACCGAGGCAGGGTGACCCAAAAAAAGAAGGAAAATCCCCAAAAAGAAAATACTTTCATCATCATTTAACACTTTCACCTCACTCACACATAATCACTATTTTTGCAGAGGTGCTCAGAATACAACAGCTTAGACGCATATACAGTGGACCCCCGCTTAACGATCACCTCCCAATGCGACCAATTATGTAAGTGTATTTATGTAAGTGCGTTTGTACGTGTATGTTTGGGGGTATGAAATGGACTAATCTACTTCACAATATTTCTTATGGGAACAAATTCGGTCAGTACTGGCATCTGAACATACTTCTGAAATGAAAAAATATCGTTAACCGCGGGTCCACTGTATATATAAAGGCACAACATATCCTTCCAAACCTCCAATATCCCAAACCCCTCCTTTAAAGTGCAGGCATTGTACTTCCCATTTCCAGGACTCTAAGTCTGGTTATAGAAAAATAACCAGTTTTCCCTGAATCCCTTCAATAAATATTACCATGCTCACACTCCAACAGCTTGTCATGCCCCAAATACCATTCATCTCCATTCATTCCTATCTAATATGCTCACGCACGCTTGCTGGAAGTCCAAGCCCCTCTCCCACAAAACCTCCTTTACCCCCTCCCTCCAACCTTTTCAAGGATGACCCCCACCCCGCCTTCCTTCCCCTACAGATTTGTACGCTCTCCATGTCACTCTACTTTAATTCATTCTCTCTAAATGACCAAACCACCTCAACAACCCCTCTTCAGCCCTCTGACTAATACTTTTATTAACTTCACACCTTCTCCTAATTTCCACACTCCGAATTTTCTGCATAATATTCATGCCACACATTGCCCTTAGACAGCACATCTCCACTGCCTCCAACCTCCTCCTCGCTGCAGCATTTACAACCCAAGCATCACATCCATACAAGAGTGTTGGTACTACTAACTTTCATACATTCCCTTCTTTGCCTCCATAGATAACATTTTTTGTCTCCACATATACCTCAATGCACCACTCACCTTTTTTCCTTCATCAATTCTATGATTAACCTCATCCTTCATAAACCCATCCACTGACACATCAACTCCCAAATATCTGAAAACATTCACTTCTTCCATACTCCTCCTCCCCAATTTGATATCCAATTTTTCTTTATCTAAATCATTTGATACCCTCATCACCTTACTCTTTTTTATGTTCACTTTCAACTTTCTAACTTTACACACACTCCCAAACTCATCTACTAACCTTCGCAATTTTTCTTTAGAATCTCCCATAAGTACAGTATCATCAGTAAAAAGTAACTGTGTCAATTCTCATTTTGTATTTGATTTCCCATAATTTAATCCCACCCCTCTCCCGAACACCCTAGCATTTACTTCTTTTACAATCCCATCTATAAATATATTAAACAACCATGGTGACATTACACATCCCTGTCTAAGACCTACTTTTACTGGGAAGTAGTCTCCCTCTCTTCTACACACCCTAACCTGAGCTCACTATCCTCATAAAAACTTTACAGCATTTAGTAACTTACCACCTATTCCATATACATGTACAGTGGACCCCCGGTTAACGAACTTTTTTCATTCCAGTAGTATATTCAGGTGCCAGTACTGACCGAATTTTTTCCCATAAGGAATATTGTGAAGTAGATTAGTCCATTTCAGACCCCCAAACATACACGTACAAATGCACTTACATAAATACACTTACATAATTGGTCGCATTTGGAGGTGATCGTTAAGCGGGGGTCCACTGTACTTGTAACATCTGCCACATTGCTCCACTATCCACTCTATCATATGCCTTTTCTAAATCCATAAATGCAATAAAAACTTCCCTACCTTTATCTAAATACTGTTCACATATATGCTTCAATGTAAACACTTGATCTACACATCCCCTACCCACTCTAAAACCTCCTTGCTCATCTGCAATCCTACATTCTGTCTTACCTCTAATTCTTTCAATAACAACCCTACCATACACTTTTCCTGGTATACTCAATGATTTTTTTTTTTTTTTTTCAACAAGTCGGTCGTCTCCCACCGAGGCAGGGTGACCCAAAAAAAAGAAAGAAAATCCCCAAAAAGAAAATACTTTCATCATCATTCAACACTTTCACCACACTCACACATTATCACTGCTTTTGCAGAGGTGCTCAGAATACAACAGTTTAGAAGCATATACGTATAGAGATGCACAACATATCCCTCCAAACTGCCAATATCCCAAACCCCTCCTTTAAAGTGCAGGCATTGTACTTCCCATTTCCAGGACTCAAGTCTGACTATATGAAAATAACCGGTTTCCCTGAATCCCTTCACTAAATATTACCCTGCTCACACTCCAACAGATCGTCAGGTCCCAAGTATCATTCGTCTCCATTCACTCCTATCTAACACGCTCATGCACGCTTGCTGGAAGTCCAAGCCCCTCACCCACAAAACCTCCTTTACCCCCTCTTTCCAACCCTTTCGAGGACGACCCCTACCCCTCTTTCCTTCCCCTATAGATTTATATGCTTTCCCTGTCATTCTACTTTGATCCATTCTCTCTAAATGACCAAACCACCTCAACAACCCCTCTTCTGCCCTCTGACTAATGCTTTTATTAACTCCACACCTTCTCCTAATTTCCACACTCCGAATTTTCTGCATAATATTTACACCACACATTGCCCTTAGACAGGACATCTCCACTGCCTCCAACCTTCTCCTCGCTGCTGCATTTACCCCCCAAGCTTCACATCCATATAAGAGTGTTGGTACTACTATACTTTCACACATTCCCTTCTTTGCCTCCATAGATAACGTTTTTTGACTCCACATATACCTCAACGCACCACTCACCTTTTTTCCCTCATCAATTCTATGATTAACCTCATCCTTCATAAATCCATCCGCCGACACGTCAACTCCAAGTATCTGAAAAACATTCACTTCTTCCATACTCCTCCTCCCCAATTTGATATCCAATTTTTCTTTATCTAAATCATTTGATACCCTCATCACCTTACACTTTTCTAGTTCACTTTCAACTTTCTACCTTTACACACATTCTCAAACTCATCCACTAACCTTTGCAATTTTTTCTTTAGAATCTCCCATAAGCACAGTATCATCAGCAAAAAGTAACTGTGTCAATTCCATTTTGAATTTGATTCCCCATAATTTAATCCCACCCCTCTCCCGAACACCCTAGCATTTACTTCTTTTACAACCCCATCTATAAATATATTAAACAACCATGATGACATTACACATCCCTGTCTAAGACCTACTTTTACCGGGAAGTATTCTCCCTCTCTTCTACACACCCTAACCTGAGCCTCACTATCCTCATAAAAGCTCTTTACAGCATTTAGTAACTTACCACCTATTCCATATACTTGCAACATCTGCCACATTGCTCCTCTATCCACTCTATCATATGCCTTTCTAAATCCATAAATGCAATAAAACTTCCCTACCTTTATCTAAATTACTGTTCACATATATGCTTCAATGTAAACACTTGATCTACACATCCCCTACCCACTCTGAAGCCTCCTTGCTCGTCCGCAATTCTACATTCTGTCTTACCTCTAATTCTTTCAATTATAACCCTACCGTATACTTTTCCTGGTATACTCAGTAAACTTATTCCTCTATAATTTTTACAATCTCTTTTGTCCCCTTTCCCTTTATATAAAGGGACTATACATGCTCTCCGCCAATCCCTAGGTACCTTCCCCTCTTTCATACATTTATTAAACAAAAGTACCAACCACTCCAACACTATATCCCCCCCTGCTTTTAACATTTCTGTCATGATCCCATCAGTTCCAGCTGCTTTACCCCCTTTCATTCTACGTAATGCCTCACGTACCTCCACCACACTTACATTCTGCTCTTCTTCACTCCTAAAAGATGGTATACCTCCCTGGCCAGTGCATGAAATTACCACCTCCCTTTCTTCCTTAACATTTAAAAGTTCCTCAAAATATTCTCGCCATCTACCTAATACATGTACCTCCCTCTCCCCATCTACTAACTCCCCTACTCTGTTTTTAACTGACAAATCCATACTTTCCCTAGGCTTTCTTAACTTGTTTAACTCACTCCAAAATTTTTTCTTATTTTCATTAAAATTTCTTGACAGTGCCTCTCCCACTCTTTCATCTGCTCTCCTTTTGCACTCTCTCACCACTCTCTTCACCTTTCTTTTACTCTCCATATACTCTGCT